TAAAATTATATTTAAAAGATGTCTTTTTCAAGCATCGAAGGGGAAAGAAATGTTCTTAATTTTTCGATTCTTATTTGAGAAGAATGAAAAATAAAGAATATTGAAGTAAAAAATTTCTTTTCTGCAGAAATGTTAGAAAGATTTTTTTCCCACCACAATTATACTCAAGAGATACCTTATTCACTCATCAGAGGGGAAGAAATGCTCGTGATTTTTTTTAATTTCCTTTTAGGAAAAATAAAAAATTTTGGTTTTCTTTTCTTTCACTGATTTTACGATTTTTAATTATTATTTTTCTATGTGATGATGATTTAGGAAATGCGAAAAAAGAAATAATTAGTGTGTTTTCCTCTTACAAAATGTGAGAATATCGCCCATGATATTAGAATAAAAAAATATTACATATTCATTATTCAAAAAAAAAATACATAAAATTCTATTATATCCAAATAGGCTTTTCTTTGTAAATACAACGTTTCTGTTACTTTAAATTTAATTAATAACATGTATATTAGTTATTACTAAAAGTTCTTGCAGAAAAATATTAGTGCTAGAGAAGATTGTAGCAGAAAGCCCAAAAAAATTCTGCCAGAGGGCTCATAGAGTATCATTCGAGGCAAAGGGCAGAATATATTAATGAAAGAACCAATATATTAATAAAAAGACACGCTTTCTTCTCCTTGCCTGTAGCCATCTCACACACATCCCTTCTTGTCTCTCTAAAATGCTTTACTCACCGTGCATGATCTAATTCTAGGAGATAAAAGAACGACTTTTTGTTTTAAAACATCGAACTGAAAAATTGTTCATATCAACTATAGTGATGCTGAAAAATTAAGCACTTTTAAGAACCTTGTACCAAAACTAAGTACTTTTAGGGGCCCTTATTTTCCAAGATAAAAATTAAGCAGTTTTTAAGGACTTTTAAGGACCGTGGGAACCCTGTTAGATGTTTTGTTTTAATAACACTCATAACCAAAAATATAGGTTTACAAAAATAAGTTGAAGAAAAAGGCAATAAAATCTTAATTGTTTTTGCATTAAAGATGGAGATATACTTTTCTGAATTTTATCCATAATATATGTTTATTGAACTGAATTGTGATTTTAATCTCATATTTGAAGATAGTTCAATACTAAGTTCTCGTTCTGTGATAGTAAGACAGTTATTCTGGTTTTCAACAAATGGATTTATTATCTACAAATCCTTGCACATACATACATCATTCTCTTCTGGAAGTTAATATTGATCTAAAGCCAAATCATTAAAATGTTCCCCAAAATTATGCTTATAATCATATCAAAGTCTTTAAGCATTTATAAAATTGCAGAAAGAAGAAAATATTTCAAAGTTGTCTTCTTGTATAAATTTGCATCAAACTTTCATTTTTAGTTGAAGGCAT